AGGTCAATTTTGTGCGTGACCTTGACCTTGACCTTTGATTTTGAGCACAGTTTCAGAATCCTCAGATTCTCTTCTTTCGTTTCACACCCAATTTTGCCGGTTTGATGCATCCTGCCGTCCTCTAGAACGCTTACTTTGAGATCACTACACATGTACCGGTTTTGCCTTTGACCTTGACCTCTGACCTTGAAAATTGACCTGAGGTCAAAAACTTTAGGTGCTTTAGAATCGTCTCGTAAGGACCTTTCGTTTGGTATCGCTTTTGTTTCCGTAACTCACTTATTTACGGAGTTAGACAAGGGGGGGGGGCGAAAAACGCCCCTCTCCGGGCTGCGGTGGTTGGGATTACCCCCCGGGCCCGGCCGGGTTAACGGGCAGATTCTTTTCGATACTTCTCTAGTTAATGTCGTTAAACTACGTGTATTATGCCTAAAAGAAATGCTCATATGCTATTTGCTCTTCTTACAACACCTTACATATTTACTCACTGATTCGATGAGCTCATCTTACAGATTTACAGGTTATTTTGAGGTTAATTTGAGGACAATGCAGGTAAAACGTCTCCAGGCACAATTTAAAACATTTGTCAAAGGTGAAATAACTTTCAATATGATTTTCTCAACTTGCTGCAGCATCTCCCCTGGTTTGTAGATGCTCCTTTAGCAGTTAAGGAAGATACCGACTACAGATACCAACTATACAGATGCAGATACCAACCAGAGGGTCATTAGTTTGCTGGCCTCAAGGCCCTACGTTGGCCTGTCCTGTCGCAGTTACGTCACTCGGTGAGAACGGAAACAGCTGACTGCCATCCGTCAGCTGACTGGTCTGTGGCTGTGTGACGTCATTAAAGTACCCAGAGACAGAAAGTCCGAATATGTGTTGAATTGTTTTAACCCGCGCCCAGATGGGGTCTGCCGAGCAACGCGGTCTGATGGGGGGGGGGGGCCATTTTGGCCCCCCCTCAGATCTCGAGAACCACGCAACATAGCGACAAGCGGTAAACGGTGTTGGATAGCCCCAACGGGGAACTACCTTGTGACCCAATTTCATTGACCTCGGTCAAACCGATGACGTCACAGGTCAGGTCAAAGGTCGAATTTTCACCGTTTACAGGCATTTCAAGAAATGCGTTGTAAAATCGAGTAAAATGCATTTCATTGAAAATCATCGGTGGAGAAATGTTCTTCAAACACATATTTTGCTATTTGAGGTCACTGATACCAGGTCAGGTCACAGAGGTCAGGTCACTGGGGGGGTCACAATATGAAAGTGTCGTGTGATACATGTTTTATGGTCCATTTTACATGACAAATGCGATTATGTGGGTCAGACAGACTTTAGGGCCAGCTTAGGTCACGTTTTGGTCAAGGTCAGGTCAAGGTCAGGTCAAGGTCAGGTCAAATTAGGTCAAATTTCAAAGTTGATATTTTTGCATAAAATGGATATCGATTCGATGCAGCTCGTCACGGGGAGTTCAATGGTGGTCTCCGTTTTGCGCTACAAGGTCTAGAATTGCTAAAAAATGAGTTCAAAAATTTGACGTCATCAATTTTTAACAGTTTTTTTGCTATAACTTGGCCAAACAAAGAGGTATCGATCTAACATTTGGTATGTATATCGAAGAGCGTAGGGACTATCACATATATTCCGTTTTTTCGAAATTCGAAAAAAATTGGAAATTTTTTGAGTTTTTCTAAAAAAAATCAATTTTTTTGATTTTTGGGGGTCAAAATCCCAAAATTTCGAAAATCCAAGATAACAGTTTTGTAGCGCCGTCTTTTCTCTACACAACCACATAAAGAACTTTAAAATTGCTTGTTAACTGTAGAATTGGTGAGCGTTTCAAGATGTCATGTTTTTTGCTCATTTTTGCTCGAACATGACCTCAGTTTGACCTCAATAACTCCTGACCTGAGGTGACCTGTGACTTGAAATTTTGTCCGAAGGTGTCAAATTGATGCCCGGTAAGGTACCCAAAATTTGGCGGCGCTGCGCGCCGCCGTTTTCTCGCTATTTAAGAAAAACCACAGGGGGGGCCAAAATGGCCCCCCCCCCCATCAGGGCGCGGGTTAAGGCAATTTTTATTACGAGCGAGCGAGCGCAGCGAGTGAAGCGAAGTCTTTTCAATATAACGGAAAAATCTCAGTATGAGCGGCCCGGCCCGGCCCGGCCCGGCCCGGCCTGTAACGCTTTTGAGAGGCTTATATCTCAGCAACCGCTGGACCGATTGGCCTGCGGTCTTTTTTGTTGGGTAGCCCCATCCCTTCTACTCCGTAATTGACTACTTTTGATACATCTCAGTGACCGTCGTGGCACGTGCCACGTGAAAAGTCAAGGGTGTTCAAGCTGTTTTGCAAAAGTAGTGATTTTGAGAGGCTCATATCTCAGCAGCCGCTAGGGCGATTGTCTTGCGGTAATTTTTGTAGGGTAGCTGCATCCCTTCTACCAAAAATAGGATACTCTCAATGCATGCGGGTCACCCCCAGTGCACGTCCATAATACAACAATAAGAGGTGTCAAATTTGTTCCCATTTTAATAACTCGGTAATTACTTGGGCGATTTCGCTGAAACTTGGCATACAGGTAGGCACCCACCAGGCAATGCATTCCCATGTGTTGCGGTTAGGGTGCTACTGCACGTGCGCACGTGCAGGGGGCGTTTCCAGATCTCGAGAACGGCTGGGCCGATTGTGCTCAAATTTGGTACACGGCTGGGGACCGGTTAGTAGGGTGCCGTGCAAAAGTCAGTTTGGACCCCGTTTGCACGTGCGCACGTGCAGAATGCCGCTTCCAGATCTCAGGAACGGCTGGGCCGATTGCGTTCAAATTTGGCACACCGCTAGCGACCGTTTAGAAGGGTGCTTTGCACAAGCCCCGTTGGAAGTACTCTATCGCCCTGCCGCACGTGCAGGGCTCACTATCTCGCTCGCTCGTTCTTCGCCCAAAAGGCGTTTTACTGGTGTAATAGGCACTGAGGTTGTACTTATTAAAAAAAAAACATACCGATGTAAGACATAAGACGGAGGATTTCTGGCAGATAAAGCAGGATTATTGAACACAACATCCTCAAGTTCATAATGTATTGTGGATTACTTGTTTGTTCTTGTTTTTCATTGTTTGAGCATGTTTGTTAATTTTAAATACATTGCTGATTGCCTAACAATAGCCGTTTTCACGATGGGCTATCCGGCGAATGCACCCGATTTGACCAAATCTGCACCCAATTTCTTTTACAGCAAATATTTTAATTTTATGAATTTATTTCAGTGTTTTAATCGATGATGCTCTCTGATAATATGACAAAGCAGGCATATAAGCAATTAGTGCAACCCTAGCTGATAGCTGCTGAGAGACACGCTGAACCTGATTTGACCAAATCTGCACCTAATCTGTACCAGATGTGCACCACATGTGTACCAGATGGCCGTCGTGAAAACGGCTATTATGACTCCACCTGACAAGTAAGTTGTGCCTGCCTTTGACGCTTGTGTCAATGTATGTGTTTGTAATTATAGTTGATGACGGTGATGCTAGAACTGAGTTTCGCTGTTAATGATATGCAATAAACCGTAAACGTAAGAACACGCTCAGCCTTAAAACATTTTAATGAAGAAGAGTAAGTGTTTAACGTCCCCTTATTGGCGTTATATTATGCATGGTAAGAGCCAAGTGTCATCATCTCATATGAGTTCGCTTTCGTTCACAATAAGCCATTTTCACAACGACCATCTGGTACACATTTGGCGCAGATTAGGTGCAGATTTGGTGCAGATTTTGTCAAATTGGGTTCAGTGTGTTTCTGAAAATTTTTAGTTTGGGGTACGGTACACATATGCCTATATACCCTATTTTTAGAATTATCCAGACATTGTCGTCGATTAAAACACTGAACTAAATTCATGATACGCAGATATTTATTATAAGAGATTTGGTGCAGATTTGGTCAAATTAGATGCATTCGCCACATAGCCTGTTGTGAAAACGGCTATCAATGACCTTATAATAAGACTGTATAAAAAGATTTAATTCTTCTTTTTTAAGAAAAATACAAAAAGGACATATATTTACTAATAATGTCTACTCAGCGTAAGGTTTCGATATAACCAACACATTTTCCGTTCCTGAATTTCAAGCAGACTACTTGTCATATTTTTTTATTTAAGAACACACATATTTATATTGCGTATAGGTTGGGTGCCTGAGGTTAATACTCGCTAAATACACAAGGGCATCGACAGACGCAAGGCACAAGACAAAAATATAAGATGCAAAGGAAAGATTAATCGACGCTAAATACGATAATTCTAACCTAACAATAATAGCAGGCGTGTAAATAATATTCCGTCATTAAAAATGTTCGCTTTGGCCTTCAAATGGATCAGGATAACAATCTGCAACATATACAACAATAAATTGCATTATGTCGATTAGACACGCATTGCAAAGCATAAAATGAAAGTTGAAACAGATGTGCATAGAATAGATAAGATTAGACAAGATTATGTAGAAAAAAATGGCATGGAAGTTCTACCTGTTATGAAGTTCAGTAAATTTTACAGAAGCTTACATGTCAGCCGTTTCCGCTCTCAGGATCTGCGTGCACCGACCGTACAGCTACGTCATAGTGGTCCTGTTTAGCGTGAACTGACGTCACTGATTCAACAATAACACAGACTGCCCGGCTCCGGCTCGCCCACTTCAGATCTCCCACCCGGGAACTTTCCCACGGCCAATGTCAGGGTACTTCTGACGCCACTTGTAGCTTACGATCGACAGAAGCGCTCGTGGCACCTTATCGTCTCCAGTTCGCCCGTATCTACCGTACAGTACTAGTTCTTGGGCCCGACGCACATTACGTCATGAGAGCTTACGCGAATGAGAGTTGCGTTCGCTGAATAGTGTGTGCAAGTGAGATATGTCACACGAGGTCTAGGCGACAAGATATGATATGACTCGATACGCCAACGGTATAAATTCAGTGCTAGGCCGCAGTAGCAGCATCAGTTCCACTTCAATCAGCAACAGCCTACCTAGTTGGTTACTTAGCTGAACCGCTGACAACTCTGTTCATAGCCAGCGCCTAACGAGCTTTTGCTGCTTTTTCTCACTTGTGCTCTTCCGTTAAAAGGTGAGCGTTGCTACATTAAGTTTTACCATGCGTGTTTATGTTGCACCTATTCGTGTCACCTTTCTTTTCTGTGACACGGACCAGTCTTCCAAAAATGGATGTCGATTCATTTCATTCAGGTTGTGTTAGTTTTACAGAGTAGCTTATTAGGTAGATGAATAGCAAGGTAAATATTATGCCCATAGCTCAGCACAGTGCTGCGAGGGCTGCAATAATTGTTCACCATTTCTTCTGTCCATAATGATTACTGATTAATACCTTTCCATTTTAGCCATCAGTATGATGCGTGTGTGCGCGGCGCTGAGTGTGGCCCTGCTGGCGGTCGTGCCGTCGCTCCTGGTGGCAGCGCCCGTGTCCGACTGTCCCCGAAACTCGGACCCCGACCAGCCCGTGTTCGTGGCCAGCGACCAGAGCTGCTCACAGTTCTACCTGTGCTCCAACGGACGGCCCATCCTGCTCACCTGTCCCGACGGGCTCTACTTCAACGAGGACACGGACCAGTGCGACTACAGGTTCAACGTTAACTGCACGGAGCCGGCCACCACCACCACCGAGGTACCGACCACCGAGGGACCCCTGCCGACCACCAAGGAACCCGTCTCGACCACCGAGGGACCCGTACCGACCAATGGAACCACCAAGGCACACGTACCAACCACCGAGGCACCCGTCCCGACCAACTTTACCACTGAAGGACACGTCTCAACCACCGAGGCACCCGTCCCGACCAACGTGACCACCGAGGCACCCGTACCGACCAACGTGACCACTGCAGTGCCTATCTCGACTACCGATAACACTGCAACTACTCAATTTTAGTTAAGATATTGCTACAGCCTTACGCCATTTGATATTATCTGGACGTGTTTTTTTTTTCTTTGTTTGTTTAGTAAATGACAGCTTGTCGCGATGCATAAAATGTCATTATTCCTCAAGAATAACAGGCACTGACGGGCTGTTTTTAATGTGAATGCTGCAGCTGACCTAATGCATTATTTTGATATATTAGCTGTTTGTTACACTATCCTATTTGCATGAATATATGTAAATACATCTGTGACAAGATATCGTCTGTTGATAAGCAAGCGCAGACGGCGCCTGACGTTAGCATCTGCAATGACGGCATATCTGTTGTCTACGTGTGCCGTAGACAGGATGTAGTTAGAAATCCCTGTTCCACCCTGCCTCTCCCTCCCCCCTGCACCACTACGACGAGACCCCCCTAATGCCATCCGACACAGGATCGTCGGAGTCGTCTCTGGCGCTCCGCAAACCCTTCGGAGACGCCCGACGGCGACAGTGACGCTGACGAAAAGAGACGCACCCGGGAACACTGATAAATGACGCTGTTGTCTGAAAATTAGCGAAGCAGAGCGCTCGTCGAGGGAGGCCTTGGTCTTAACAAAGGTGCAACAGAGGGCGGACGGGGTTGCATTTGTGAGAAATTTCAGGACAGAAGAAATTATTTGTCGGGATTGGTCGTGGTGCTACTATTGTCACAAAGTGATAAGTATTTACATAATGTTTTGTTGACACGAGACCGGTTGTATCGATGTTGATTCGAGCCGGTAGATAGATGAGAACGAACCCCCCGCCCGCCCCCCCCAAAACGTGAATTATAGTAAGATATTAAATCAGCATTACTGCAATTCAATGTCTAACAGTTAATGGAACATTTACCACTCTATTTGAATATTTCTAATACATATCCATTGGTATCAAATATTAATTCATAGCACGGCACTGTAAAAGGCAGCTGCCTTTAAGTGATTGGACCTAGTCGGGTGAATCTTTTGCTCGGTACCTGAAACGTCGAGATGATGCGTTATTTAATCAACATGTGATCATCGATCGATCCGTTGCAGGGGACATCCAATTTGCCGCGTACCTGACAAGAATCGATACAAATCGCTTTGGATAATGAACTACTCAGTCGGGGCCGATTTGACGGTATCGTCAATATTCCGACATTTGTCGCCATATTACTTCATATGGGTCCATATTTCCCCACCTGTCACCTATATTCAGACATTTCTCACAGATGAATGCCGCACTAGCGGCAGCCGCCGTCCAGCCGCTCCGCCCCCGCCCAGTTCATTTCGACACATCTGCGCCGCCATTGTCTCGCCTCACCTGTCACGTCAAGTGGCGCGGCTGAGACGACATTTGGCGCGGCCGAGACGTGTGGCGCACTGGGACTGGGCTCCAATAACCGCCGGGTCAGGGCACTAATATGGCCCGATTGGAGGTCCGGTTGGGGAGGCGGAACTGCGCGAATAGAGGCAGAGCCAGTCAGCTGAGGCAGAGACTCCTGGAGGAAGAAGCTGCATATGGGTGCCCTTTCACAGTGCACACTGCACATGCAAAGTTCATAAGAATCTCGCATGCATGCAAGATGGGTGTAATACGGGTAAGTCAAGAGGAAGTAAAATTGTACGGTGCTGGTTTAGGGATGGCAGTAAGAAAAGCTTTATCATTATGTGACATCCTCCGTTTTCAAAAGAAAGCTAATCGTTGTGACAACTTATATCACATATTGAAACGCTTAGCCCTTTATTTCTTAAGTTTTAAATTTACCATATGCACTTGCAATTCGAAATCTGTATAAAGACTTGAAATAACAAACAAAAATAACTTCGATCGTTATTTGTTACAAATTGATCAATCTTACTGACACAAATATCTAATTCAAACTATAAGAATATATAACCTCCGCTGTCCCGACCTGGCAGTTTGGTCCATCAATTCTGATTTAGTTCATTTCGCCGGGGACGTTTTATGCGATTCCTGGCTGATCTGATTGGCACTTTTTATCAGTTAAGGCGCGACTGGAGTAGCTGACTCCGTCCCAGGCTGAAGACTTTATCCAATGTGTCCGTTGGCGGGTTAGTGACCCTGTTATTGGCCATAGCCAGTCATCCACAGAGAATAATGGGCCCTTGGGAGGTCATTAAATTTAAATAGTGGGTGTCGGTCATAATTCACCAGGTGTCAAATGCTGCCTTTGACCTTTTCGGTCCGAGAGTGTTTGGATCATCACCTGACGTTTTTTTATTGCTTGATGAGTCGCATCGATGGAGTGGACTGCATCAATCTCGGTCCATTGCAGGCCAAGATATACCTTCAACATGAAGAAAACGGTAGGTGTGTCATGTCGGAATATTCATTCAATTTCTACGAATGAAATTCAGAAGCTCTGCTCAAGTCCCAATTTCTAGAACAGTTGTCTCAGTTGTCTCAAGTAATTTACTAAAAATGATAGCTTAATTAGGTTAACAAATCATTTATGTCTCGCAAAAATATGACGATCAATCTTTTGGTAAAGTCTTAGCTGGCCCAGTTAAGTATAAGAGCGCTATAGTCTGCAGTGGTCGCAGCTTGCAATGCTTTTTCAGCGGGAATCCGGTAAAAAGCAAATTATAGGCCTGACGAGATCTTCCCCTTGGATTCTGTCCTCATCTCACATGTGCAATGTGAAATGTCCATAATAGCCGTTTTTACGACGGCCTATCTGGTGAATACACCTAATTTGACCAAATATCTACCAAATCTCTTTTACAGCAAATATCTTAAATTATAAATTCATTTCAGTGTTTTAGTCGATGATTATATATGATAGTATGACAAAGAAGGCATATAAGCAATTAGCGCAACCCTATAGCTAAAAGCTGCGAAGAAACACACTGAACCTAATTTGACCAAATGTGCACCAAATCTGACCAAATATGTACCAAATGTGTACCAGATGGCCGTCGTGAAAACGGCTACTGAGTACTGATCCATTTTTGCAGTGGCAGATTGAAAAGATTTGCAGTTGCACACGAAGTGCTACGCCGGTGCGGTGCTTTAGTTCAGGGCACTCCGGTCATGACATTTAAAGCTCGCTGACATATGGAATTCCCATCCGGGCCACTCAATCAGATAAAGATGTTTCCAATCTTATCAATATAGCATCAAATATCAAACGCTTAGGTACCATCGAATTCTTGATATTTGTGATAACTTTGCAAATTCTGCTGACCATTTTGTCTTAGAAATAAGTTATGGATGAGAATACCTTCGAGGGAAGAGTGCCACGCATGAAATGCGTGTCTATCGATCCAGATTCTAGGAAATACTCCTCTGAGAACAGCATGCCTATAGAGAACTACACTGAGAGAAAAGTTGACTCTTCCCAGCACATTGGGGAGAGTTATCATTTTTGATTCTCGATGCAACTCTTCTTCGACACCAAACTCGGATAAAAATCATCTAGAAATAGCCCACGCACGATCAAAATGTGAATGCGACAGCTCTTATGCGAAATGGCATGCAGACATATGAGAAAAGACACAGACCTCAAACCTGATAATTCTTTACATTTGCGACCACTTGATCAGTCATTACGCACAATGTTATCTGGCATATCATCAAAGCGCTATGGAGGTCAGCTTCCTCAAGTCTGTTAGATAGATAGCCCACGGAAACTCGACAATCCTGGACCAGTCGGCGCTCTCAGCCCCAACCCTCAGCGTCCGTCCTGCCGCGGCGGCCCTGACCCGCTGTTCAGTGACGGTCTGAAGAGCCCCCTGTTCCATGGGCCGCGCTCCACCGCTGTCCGCCAGGGGCGCCGCGGCAAACATTTACACCGGGAAGTGAGTCGTTTATTCAAGTGGAGCCAATGTCACGGTGCGCTTGGTCGCAGGAAAAGGCGAGGACACAGACGGGAGTCAGCGGATGTGGCCATCACTTAGACAGAAAAATGTGCCGGAATAAGACAATGCAATGTTCAAACGCATCGTAAATGCAAAATATGTCATTGTGAGCGAAGTTCCAGTGCAAATCTCAGGATTTCGTAAACGATTAAATCTGAGCCTCTTGTATTGCTGCGAGGCTTTATCTCAATTAGGAGCGAGATGGCAGGGAGTTTCATCAGACTTCATCCGGCCGAGCTGTAAGAGCTCCGCACTGGGTGCAAACACATTTGAACCGCTCTGGTTCTCTATTTCAACTCTCAAAATATTCCCGTTATCTGCTGCAACAGCGTGCAACGAAACAAACCTAATGAACAAACTTTCGCCAATTACAGCGCTTGTCAAATGCGAAGTTTTCATTGCCCCCAAAATTCAGAAAACAATGCTTTTAATTTGTTTAGTTGCTCCGTAATCGGGATGTGTTGGCCGCTCTGTCCAGCAGTTCGCACCTCTGATCCCCACCTGGCGGCGCCATTTGCGCTCATTCCGGACGCTCCCTGCGAACTTGGCGCTCGTGTGCGGCGCTGAACTTTGCTCATCACCTCTCTTGGAAACCTGTGCGTGGTCGTGTCGGCTGGCGCCGCCGCGGCGTCTCCTTCCGGCGGTTGATTTCAATTTCGGCCCGACACTACCCCATCACGGACCAACAGCAGGCCCGCGGGCAGCCACGAACAGGCTGAACGAGGCGGAGTTTCACGGTTTGCGACGTAAGCCTCGGCGCAACGCAGTGTCAGTTATTCATGTTTATTGTTTATGTTATGCTATGCGCTTTCACGGTTCAAAGAAAGCTAAGGCGAACTTTCATGCATGTAAATTACTTTCCCGTTGTTTAAAGGTGAAAGCAGTCGCCGAGAGCAGAAACAGCAGTACCTTATTGTTAGAAATGGCAATTTAAGTCCCGCGAACGTATTCACTATATATTTCGATGGAGATATCTACATGCGTGAAGGACTTCTTGATGCATACTTATTCGTAAGTACAAGCCAGCATAAAGAAATATGTAGATAGCCGTTCTATGGAAATTGCCCGAACACATCAACCCCAATTAAAATCATTAACTTACTCTAGACAAATCCTCAGTCGAACACGCAACTTCTTTGCTCTCTTTAAGCTCCAGCTGTGAGGAGCGCGGGTTCGGTCAGTCCCCCCCCCCTTCCGCCCCACGCACGCACCATCGTCAGTGCGCAGCGCCGCCAGCGCATAATTGGCCCACTAATGAGGCGCTGATGGTGTGTCGGAAACACGTCAGGGGGCGCCTCTCCACCGGTTCTTGCTCCACGTGCGGATCACGGTAGCTGCAGTTTTTCCGTTCTCCCCGCACTTTT